CTCTCTCTCTCACTCACATACATACACTCACACAAATACATACACACTTATTCACCAAATTGTAGCTGAGGTCATGTCACTGAAGTCTTCGTCTTCGCTGCTGCCGTCGACGTCGATGATGTCTGTAGTGCCTGCTGTGCCAGAGCAGCGACGACGACGACGACGGCGACGGCGACGGCGACAGCGACGCGGGCAGTCCCAACGTTGTCAGCTCAAATGGCTTTCAATTGTAAAGCTGCCAAGTGCGGCACAAGAAAATAACCCGGCATGTGCAGCTGCTCCAACGGAATTGCAGCAGCGATTGCGATGACGACTACGACGACGGCAAACAATTGTAAGCTCTGACAAGCAGCCACAACAACAACAGAAAGCACACACTATAGCTGCTGCCGGTCCTGCCTGTCCTGCCGCTCGCTAGCGTTAAGCATCTTCCTGCAGGTCCGCCTGCCAGCCTGGCTCTAAAGGCGAATGTCCTGATTCTCACGCGCACTTTGCTGGCAGATAATTGCATTGCCTTGCATGTGTGAGTGCTCATACCTTTGTACATGTGTGTGTTTGTGTGTGTGTGTGCTCATGTATTTATGAAACCATTTCCGCGCTGCAATAAAACTTAACACGGTCACTAATCTAGGCCTGAAGCGCAAAGTGTCATTAATTTTATTTCTCCGGCGCTGTGACATTTTCCGATTATATGCGGATTTTTCTTGCCTCTTGCCAAAATGGAGGCACAAGTCTTTGCTGCAGAAGCACCAGCAGTACCATCAGCAACGCGGGGGGAGTTGAAGGCGACAATTTGCAGCTTACACTTCGTTTGTTGTCCTTGAACGATTTGCAAACCCCTCAGAGTCTAACAAATAGGGAAATAGGCGACGACGGCGATAAGCACACTCGCTCCACTTTCAAATTTTTCTTTTTGCTGTTTTGCTATTCGCTTCTTTTTCTTCTGCTGCCTCTTATTTGTTTTTAATGTTTGCTCAATTTAAAACTTTTCTATCGCAATTCGTATTCGCACGCACATTGGCAGGTGCTTAGACCGTGAGTTGGGCAACAGATGCGAATGGTCTGGTGGATGGCCAAAATATTTGCATACGCACTGTACGGGGAGTACGGGGTAGGGAGTCGGAAAGTTGGGAAAAAAGTTAGTTTAGTTTTTGTTTTTAATTTGGTAATGCAATGCAGTGCGTCGTGTCGAATCGTTAGCCTTGGACAAAGCATTGTTTTTATACAATTAACTGGCATGGAGTTTGCAAATTACATGGGCCATGTCTATGGCGAGGGCGGGACCGGATTTGGATGTGGATGTGAATGTGGAGGAGAGAAAAAGTTTAGCTTTACGCAAACTGGAAGTGACTGTCAAGTTGAATTTGTCGAAAATAAAATTTATTTATACGATTCTTGAGTGCCACCAGGAAGAATCAGAAAAGGACAAATTTGTAGTTGTGTAGTGAAGGAAACTTGGACACGTTTCTGATGTGCTTGTAAATAAACAGCGCCAAATTGCATAACTTTTAATTCGTTTATCACAAATTTGCATTTGCGTTTGTTGACTTAATTAAAAACGTTTTATTTACCTCTGTTCTCATGAGAATTGTTTTGTATTTGTTTTATTTCAGAGATAATTTGAGAACCATTCAGCGATTCCATAAACATTTATCTCTTTAAAAGGCTTGCTAAGAAATTGTGAACTCAGCAATTTCTGATACAACTTCTCATTTTTCATACCTTCTAAGCAACATAGTCAACGGTCCTGAGCCATTGCACCACATTTAAAATTTAACATACGAGTAGATGCAACTTTAAAGCTCTTCAGTACCTTTTAATTCTGGAGAACTAAATGGATTACTGGATAAATTTGTGATTGCTTCTCTTCATTTAAGCTTTCCCATGCTGTTGAGAAAAAGTCTGTGTAACATATTTCAACAAAAAGCACGATAATAGTTTGCAAAAAGTCAAAATGCTGCACAGATGTACAAATAGGACATACTCGGGTCTCTGTCCGCAATTCGTCATATAATCCTTTATTTAAAAAATGCTTGGCAGAACGCTTTGGTGCTGCGGTTCAATATTTTTAACCTACAGGCCTCCTTGCATTTTTTCTCTTCAATATAAAGTAAGTCAGTCATATTATGGCCTTTGTGGCGAGTATTATCGGGAAATCCATTAGTAGGAACAAAACAATAGTTCCCATTTTTCAAAATGACCTTTTATTGGTAAACATTAGACAACTTGAAAAAACTGCACTGCCGGTGATCGCAAATTTTTGCAATTTAATAACAATAGTGTTCAAAATAGTGCAAGATATATGTACACGCTGTGTAATATATAGAGTTGATTCAGTTTTTTGCGAAATTCGTTGTTGAGCATTTAAGGGTCACATCTTCGAACAGATTATATGGTCGAAAAACGCCATTAAAAACGGCATCGAATTAAATTTGTAACCAAAATATACTTGTAGGTCTAAATCATTAAAAATGCAGCATACTTATTGGGGCATACTTAGGTTTGCTGATAACGACAGCTTTAATGACAGCTTTTGATCAAATATGACATCTATTATTTTGATTTAAGGTTTAGGAAATTTAGTTAGACACTGATACTTAAAAAGTTAACACCAAATAGTAGAATTAGCTTTCTTCTAACCATTTTAGTGGTGCTTGTCATATTTTCAATGCAACATTGTGAGATGTCTTTTCAATTCACAAAAAGATCGTTGCTCATCGCTGTTACTTTCTCTAGCATTTTGTATACAGCTGGTAAAAATAAAAATGAATAAGTAATAAATATTCCCCTGTAATAATATATTTATAATGGATAATAGAGAATATTCTGGTACTTCACACAAAGTATATTCTGTGTACTTTGTTTAGTCATCCGTTCTTTTATAACATACCCATAACAACTGCAAATGTTCAACAATGAGTCATTTAATTGCTTTTTATCTGGGGACTTTTCTTATTTTCACGGGGCAGGTACGAAATCGATTGGCCTCTGCTTTGTTGGGCTAACAAAGCCGTCTCGAATCGCATGATAGCCACTATTGAAACCTCAGAATCATGGCTCCAAATTGCACACGAAGCTGTCAAAAGCAGCAAACGAACAAATTAAGTTGTACAATATCAAAAATGTATTAAATATATGTGTATAGGTATTTGTATATGGTCTGGTATGGAATGCGCCATTATCTGGCTAACTGACTACATTCGTATCTGATTTTCTGGCATCAAAATCAGGCATCTATGGTCATGTATGTGGCACATCAGTTAATTGATTTTGTTTACGGCATGCGGTTGCAGCTGCAGTTTGCTGAACAATTCCTGCATAATATTTTTTTAATATTCTACTCTGCATTTTTGGCAAATGGCCATCAAATTAGCTCCACTTGGCCCACTGTGCCACATTTATGAATATCAGCAAGTCAGGGAGTGTCTGCCGCAGTCGTGTGTCTGTTTATGTTTTTGCGCCTCTCTCTCTCTTTGTGTGTGTGTGTGTTCATAAAGCAGCAGAAATATCACCGACGTCGACGATGGTAAAATGCTCTCGACACACCCATACATCTATATATTATATACATATGTATATACATGTATAGTATTGGCAAATGGCTGTGCAGCCACAACGGCAGTCGGAATGACGAAATGGCGTGGACGCTGCTGCGATTGCAATCCTGATTGGGAGCGCGACTGCGAACTGCTGCACTGCACAAACCATAACACAGGATGTATTATCCGCATTGGCAAGGCATCTTAGCCAAGTCAGCAGAGGGGCCGCCGAAGAGGTGGAGCTCGCTGGAGCACGACAAAGCGAAAAAGCGGTCAAGTGAATTTCAAATACAAATTCAAATGGCAAATTGACAAATGAACCTTTGAACATTTTACGTTTTACGTTTTACATTGTGCCAGCGATGGTGCTTCTGTGAGTGTGTTTGTGTGTGTGCTTGTATAGGTAATTCAACACGCCACAGTTTGTTCCTTTGCTGTTGGGCACAATTACTCTCCGGCTCTTGCTCCTACTCCTGCACGTACCCATCGATACACTTGGAAGCGCAAACAAAAAAACAAAACGTTCGACATGCTTTTGATGCCGGTTTTGAAAAGGCGTCTGGGGCTGTGTGTACTCGCATGTCTGTGTGTGGGTGTATTGTGTTTTACTGTTTCCAGCATGGCATACGGCAAAGACGTATAGCCAGGCAACGAGACATAAAACAAATTACAATAGTATATAGTTGAAAGGCGATTTTAAAGTTGCTGCCAATTGGCGCCCATCCCAGTCCCCAAACAGACAAACACCCACACACACGTCTCTAATTCCAACCATTCACCTACTTACTGCCAACACACCGCTCTCGCCTCAATGCCACTACCCAGACTCCCCTATTCATCAGGTTTTGTGTTTACGCTTGCTCTTTTGCCCGGCCATCCATTCAAAGGCAGAGCAAAAGAGGAAGAACTCCGTAAATTAAAATTACCAACGAAGCTAAGCAATCTTACAAAGCGCATTGTGTATGCCAAACAATCTAATGGTGTATCCCAACATTTCTCGTTTTCAGATTTAAGAATTTAATGCTTGAACCTGGATTGGAGTGGATTGGCGAACGGCAGCTGATGGACGGCAAAGTTTTTCCTCGAACTACACGCAAACTAAATTAAAAGGAAGTGCGAAATATAAAAAGAAACTGAATTGAAATCAATAAGAATTTTGCAAGAACTGGGACTTGAGTTACAACAATTTCCTTTGTGTCAGTGCCAGACCGACGGTTGTGTGTAGGTCTGGGTGTGTGAGTGCCGGTGTCTGTGAAAGTCAAAGTGCTGAGTAATGTGCAATGGAGCGCCATGCGAGCGGGAACATGATGTGAAACATGGCAATCGAATCAACTAAAGCCATTTAGAGTCATCAATTGACACGGCCTTCGTGTTCCGAGTTTGGGGCACTACGGCACGCGCCAGCTGCTGCTGACCAGCAGCAGGAGACACCCGCAGGCAGTGCACAGCTTGAGCGTAAGCATGGACAGAAAGAGACGAAGGGGAGGCGGAAGTAGGGTGGGTGGAGGAGCTTTCACATGGTTGCCAGGTAAGTTGGCCGCACGCGGCATAATGGCGCGTGATCAATCATTACTCTTCCTCTATTTTTCTGCCGCAGCTTGTGCCCTTGTCGCGCTGTGCCTCTCCACATGGGTTTGGGCCGACGATTGGTCGCTGAGCTGCGCCTCCAACTGCACATGCAAGTGGACGAATGGAAAGAAATCGGCCATTTGCAGCTCCTTGCAGCTCTCCACCATCCCCACTACTCTGAGCACGGAGCTGCAAGTTCTGGTGCTGAACGACAACCACATCCCATATCTGAATCGGGAGGAATTCTCGGCGCTGGGTCTGCTTAACCTGCAACGCATCTATCTGAAGAAATCGGAGGTTCATTATATCCATAAAGAGACATTTCGTAATTTGAAGATCCTAGTCGAAATCGATCTGTCCGACAATAAGCTGGAGATGATCGATAAGGACACATTCATGGGCAACGATCGTTTACGCATTCTCTATCTGAACGGCAATCCGCTGAAGCGTTTAGTTGCGTATCAGTTTCCCATACTGCCCCATTTGCGCACCCTGGACATGCACGACTGTCTCATATCGTACATAGATCCTATGTCGCTGGCCAATCTCAATTTGCTAGAGTTCCTCAATCTCAAGAACAATCTGCTCGAAAGTCTGAGCGAGTATGTCTTCCAGCATATGACCAATCTCAAGACGTTGTCTCTAGAAGAGAATCCCTGGCAATGCAACTGCAAACTGCGCAAGTTTCGCAATTGGTACGTCAGCAGCCGCCTTAGCTCGGTTAGTCTGGTGTGTAAGGGTCCGCCGGCGCAGAAGGACCGCACCTGGGACAGCGTGGATGACGAACTGTTTGGCTGTCCGCCACGCGTCGAGATCTTCAATAACGAGGAGGTTCAAAACATTGACATTGGCAGCAATACGACATTCAGCTGCCTGGTCTATGGGGATCCACTGCCCGAGGTCTCTTGGGAACTGAACGGCAAGATTCTGGACAACGACAATGTTCTATTCGATGCCGAGAGCATTGCATCTGATAAGCTCTGGAGCAATTTGACAGTCTTCAATGTGACAAGCTTGGATGCTGGAACCTATGCCTGCACCGGGGCCAATCTCATAGGATCTGTGACGCAAAACATTAGTATTTATCTGACGGAAATAGTGCAGCATGTGCTTGTTAAGACGCCCGAGACCTTTTGGTACTTTGGCCTCATTATGGGGATCTTCGGTACAATCTTCTTGCTGATTGCCATCTCCTTCGTGGTGTGTCTGTGCAAGCGGACCACGCGTCAGCATCGTCATGCCAACAAGGCGGGCGTGAAAAGCAGTGTCAGCTTCAATGACCAGGAAAAGAAGCTGCTGGACTCGAGCGTTACGACAACCACCAATGATCGAGGAGACAGCTACGGGATCGACAACAACCCCAGCTCCATCAACAAGAACGATTCGGCATTGGGTTTCAGTCAGATAGAAATTCATGCTGTAGAGAATCATCGGTCTGGACTCGGCCATGGCAGCATGATTGTGGGACCCGCCAGTCACCATCAGCTAGCGGCCACCCAACAACAACAGCAGCAGCAGTCACAGGCGTCCCATTCAGGACAGCAACATGTTCATATGGCAGGCACACTGCCCCGCCAGCAAATGATGACCGTAAAAGATCCGACGTGTGGTCTGATCAGCGTACCCACGTCCATGGCCTCGTATACGAGCGCCCATCCACATCCCAGCCAAATGTCCGATGAGTTCCCACTCAACGTTGGTGTTTTTCCGCCACCGCCAGAGTTCTGCTCCAACATTGTGCCAAATCCGGCCTTCGGAAACATCTTTATTCGTGTATCCGTAACGCAGGACATGTTAGATGGAGCTGACATCAATATGTACCCAGATCTACTCAACATACCAAAGCGTCTTCAGGATGTCTCAGCCACCGGGGTGATGCAATGCAGCTCAGGCGGCGACCCTGCCACTCAGACGATCGAGGGGCAGACAGCTGCCCAGTTTGCCACACTACCGCGTCACACAACCAGGCGCGGTATTTTAAAGAAAGACCCTTCCCTGCAACAGCATCAGCAGCAGCAACAGCAACAGCAACAAGGTCTCTACCCTCACGATGAGATCGTTTCCTATCACAATGTGGACACGAGTGCCTACAGTCATGAAGCACACCAACTTCAACATCCACACCAGCCGGCGTACCATTGTCCGGGCAGCACTGCCATGGAACTGCCGCCCCCGCCACCACCGCCCGCAGTCACTGCCGTGGCCCAGTGCCATCACCCGACGGTTCCCGTCTCCGTCTCTGCCGCCAGCTGTGCGAGCTGCATCAACAACGCGCCACCTTCTGCCTGCAGCACACCCCCCATAGAGGTGACCACCCTCAGACCGATGTGCAAAGGGGCGGGGGAGAGTGCCGCCTATCCAAAATACGACAACATGGGACGTCGCATCACAGCTAGTGGCGCGCTAGGCAACTCCACACTGTCGTTGCCCGATGAGGAGCGCTACGAGAACGAAACGCTGTTCAATGAGTCCCAGGAACCATTGACTTCCGGAGAGTGCGAACAGGAGCAGACGCAGACAAAGACACAGCAAATGCAGCAGACACAGCAGCAGCATCAGCAACAGCAACAGGATTCGACTTCGAGCGTTGACAAAGGCGGTGGCGAATTCGTCTCCCTCTAGTATTATGGAACGCAGGTGTAAATAGCAGCAGAAGTAGTTCCACCTATCAGTCAATAGATTTGTGCTTCCCTCCCAAGAGACAAACTTTGGCAATCGTTATGTTCATATCATTTTCCGATTGAAGTTGGAAGTTTCCACTTCCGAATAATAGGCTTAGGAGCTGACATACCAACAGGTACGCAATCAAATACACAATCTATTGACTGTAATTGCCGAACTCATTGCCATTGAAAAATTAACAAAAGGGAAACTTATGCAAAATCAAAATCATTTATAGAGCTGGGACAAGAAATCGAAAAGCATTTCAGGCCAATTCCAATGCAAACCTGTATTTCAATTCAAATAATTAACACTTTAAATTACTGGGAACTTACCACAATAAGAGTGTAATTAGGAACCGCCACTGATGAAAATTTCAGACAACTGCTGGAACATATATGAATGAAGTATCCCGTAATGAATTCAGTAGCTTCCTTAATTGCGTAAGTCCGAAACCACTTGTTTTAATGGTAAGACTTCCACAGTTTCGTCCTAAGATCGTTTTAGATCCAAATCAGATTACTAGATTCGATTTATCAATTACCTTTTCGTTTATTTTGGGATTGTTTTGTTCATGTTTATTCAGATATCAGTTTGCTTTTACGATTTCCGTTTCAGTCCCGCTATGATGTCATGATCAATGCTTTCTTTGCCTGCATCATCGCACCGTTTGGCATAATCCAACAGTATAAGTACTACTCGTATATATGTATATAGATGGAAGAAGTATATATGTAAACAGCTTAATCGTACATCATACTATTTATGTGTATCGAATTTCCCAAAGCTAGCAAACATTATTTTAACTCTAGTGCTTGTTGTTGAAAACAGCAAAGTAGGATATCTGTAAATGATATAGTATGTATGGTACATGTTCAAAACCGTAATCGACTATAGACCAAAACTGATCTCCATAAGGTGTACAAATTGATAAATACGAGTATGCATATTACACTTACACTGATTGCAACTAAAAACGGTCAAACATTAGTCATAATAATACCGCATATACTATACTTAGTATTAATAAGCTGTACGAGTACTATACTATATGTACAGGAATCGCATGTTTATTAGGGTGCTAGAAATTGAGGACGATTTTTGCTTTTTGGCCCCGAGTGCTCGACTTCGTTTCTGTTCTCACCCTTACACTTACACTTACACTTACCGACGTACAGTATGTAACATTTATAGTACATATACATACCTATATATATATATATAGGTACACATGGTCCTCCGTAGGTTTGTAGATATATATTTCCTTTATACCTCCCATACGAGTACACGTACATGTACATATTTAACCAGCAATTATATACTTTTTAACATGTAGACTAACGCGATGTTCCCATTAGGAAAATCGCACAAAATTATTAAGAATTTATTTGTAATCACAACGAAGGCCTGTCTCGATTCCATTGATTTGTAAATCCGAACAACATAATAATATTAGGATTAAACAATTGCATTTATAAACGGTAGCACTCGGTTTTGATTACAAATTACCATTCCCCCTCACCATCCCTTCCTCCTTAAATGCATGCAAGACTTTTTTGAAGAGCATACTCGAAAACTCAACTCGTATGCTAGCCAACCGCGATACTCCTATCAATGAGATATTGTTGATAGAACCCACTGTGTTTTCAAATTCTTCAGTCGTGCCAATTGAATGCTTTCAACTCATTATAAACTGTTGATATGTGTGTAAAAAGAACTTGTTATTATACCAATGAAATGGTTTATGTTTTAATTGTTAAGTCCTTGCTCAGTCTCTACTAGCTGTGTATCTAGATTAGTTGTATCTTAACCTTGTGTCTGATCTAATTTCGAACTTAAGGTATCATGTCTGTTGATGAATAGCTTATTACTCCCTAAGCGGTAGCTAAATGTGGCATATAATATGATATGATATGATCGGGTATTGGAGGCTTTCACATCAATAGGGTGGGCAGACCCGGCCCGGCCGCAACGTTCCCCTCTTTCCCTTTCCACTTACAATTAGACCAATTAGGCGACAGACAGCCAACACTATGCATGTACATTTATTGTAAGAGCGAAGAGATGGCGGATTGAAAACGAGAACGAGAACGAGAACATATAGAATGCATAGGGGACTATACATATATATCATAATAGTAAATATAACTGCAAACTCCGCATAATAATTTTTGTGTAGAACGTTTAAAATTTCGAGCTTGATAACTTAAATGTATGTATGTAAGTACAGCATAAGAGCATAAAACCCCCTATATAAATAAATATACTATATAACTATATGTATTTGTAATGCGCATGCGGATTTATTCAAACTTGCAGTAAATATAATTCCGAATGTACACAGTTAATATTTCATTACATCCATACAAACATACTATATAGAAATAATACTATATATGATAGTTTGTGTGGCCACCAATAGACGCACCTTTCTTGTGAATTGCGTGCAAAGATATAAATGAATAATATTTTGTTTTTTGAATATAGTGGCAAAGAGTACCTCTCAAAACATTACATAACAACACAATACATGCAACAATAGCAAATAATTTTCCTTAGTTATTCTTTTTTCGCGTTTCCACCACTTATTGAAAAGCATCAAATGCTAGGAAATATGAAACCCCTGCACTTCCTAGAGCTTAAAAGCCAAATGCCACTGCGGCTCATTCAAATGAAATCAGTTAAGCATACTATATTATGTGAATGAAAGAATTGTAAATCGACGCTGAACAAATCTCATACTTCATTGCTTACGTAAAGAATTAAAAAAAAACTAAATGACTGAGACTTTGATGTTTCGAAAATGCGTCAAATCAAGAATTGTTAACTTTACAAATTTCATATACTGGTATGCGAAAGCAAAACCGAGAAAGGTTTCCCCTAAGTTTGTTATTCTAAATTCTAACTGTTTTATATTTTCATTGTGTATTTGTTGATGAAACGTTAAAGTTTCTCAGAAATGTCCGGGCAGGATAAGAGAATACTTTGGTATAATAAGGTATTGTTACTTAGTTTGGCAACTTCTAGTTTTTGAGGGGACATTGGCACAGGCTTGATCGAATTTCAAAGATATAATTATTTTTCATTAACTGTAATTGAGTTTTTAAAGTATTCTCTGTGGCAATCTATATCTGATCGAAAATACGCCTGAAAACTAATTATCTTGTGAGGTAGTTGGACTGCAAAGGCACTTTCCCTTCGACTGACTTCCTGGAACGATTTTACTTGAATGAGCTGCAGCGTTGAATGAAATCCCTTAGAGAATACACTATACTTGCATATTTATTGTACATAGGTAATTTTATAAATGAACGTACTAAAGACATACTCTATAAATACATATTTGCATGGAAGGACCCAAGCAACTCTTTGAAGTTTGAGGCGAGATAGAGGGTGGGAGAGCTGCAAGTAGTTTTTATTCATTTTAATTAATTTTAAAGGGCCAAGGTCAGGTCGTGGCTGGCAGGAATGAAATCAAAATTGAAGACGACGTGAAAGAGAACTGATAGCGAGAGAATCCGAACTATGTTTTTAACTACAACCACACATACATACATACATACATACAGACCATCCATGGGAATGCGGATGATGGATGTGTAACTTTAATTTTAATTACTGTTTGTACTTGTACGTGGTATGCCATGTAACCGTAGTTGGGCAAAACACAGACGGAGAGGATAGCAAACATTCATACATAATGTGTACACAGAAGCCTTGACTATATAAACTCACGCACACATACATACATACATACATACGTACATAGTTTCGTATGTATGGATGAGTGAATGAGGCAAACCAACAGGCAAACTTTTATTGTTGTGTGAAATGCAAACGCGAATAATTAAAATCAAGAATAGTAGTCAAACTTGTACAATACGGAAAAATATTGTATTTTAACTCGAATTTCATTAAAATTAGCTAAATTCCGAAAAAGACATGCCCACTTATTCGACCACATATACATACATACATACATACATACATGCATATACTCGTACATATGCTTATATACACTCCACACAGAGCACATAGTCATGCATTCAACACCACCTCCAGATTCTAAAACAGACATCGACACACAACCAACACATATGCATATACCCGCAGAATACATTGATTCATTGTAATAGAATTATCCTTTGGAATAGATTGTCAAGCTTTATTACACACTATAATAAAATACATAGATGAAACAATACCTAATAAAGAACACAATGAGAGAATTATAAAAATAAATTTAAAGATGCACTCGCGAGCGTTTTCATTATACAAGTGTTTGTGGGATGCGAGTAATAATACGGAATTACCTTGGGTAAGTACTAAACTACTGAATAATATAAATTGTTCGTTAATTTTTTATTTGTTACTTGTTCCCAAAAAAAATATATATATTATCGCTGCAAATCCGATTAATTGGCAAAACTTTAGAGCAGACCAGCAGCTTTTCCATTTCCACATTTTCGCCGAAATGTTTAAGGTTTTCAGCTTCAGTTTTATTTAGGAAATAGGAATTTTTAATTCGCAAAATTTAAAAACTCCGCCTTCAAAACAATTTTTTAATTTGCTTGGTGTATTTTGAGACTGATTACCTTTCAAGAGTTTAAAGAAATTGAAAAAGGTCGATGTATCTTCTAAATAATTCGAATTCAAAAGGGCTTAAAGTAAAATACAATTTTATTATAAGTTAAAAATTACAATTGGTTTTCTTAAAATATTTGTTAAAATTTTGTTGAAATGTATCAAACCATATGTATCGACTCATCTGTCCATCACTAACAAAGTTAGTCTCTCTAAGAATGTAGATCGAAGCAGACGCATTCGCTGCAGCTATATTGTATCACACACAACACATCATATATTCATACATATCAATAAACATCAAACTTATTACATTAAAAACAACAACAGGTTATGGGCCCAGCAAGCTTCCACTGCACTCATATACCTTAGTGAAACCTAATAAATAAAAGTTTTGGTGATGCCGAATTCATTGTGAAATAATCAATGCAATAGACGCATAATTGTATGTAAATGTGTGTACGTGGTAGACGTACATACGTACATGTGTATGTGCAAAAATCTTGTGTGTATTGGTGACTGACGCCAACAAAGTGGTCGTTTAAATTTGAAATCCACAAATCAGTGTTAAGCACATAAAGCGTGTGAAAAATCAAAGTGTTGAAAAAGTACACGGTGAAACTATCGAATAATCGATCAACGAAAACACGAAACGTAAACAAACGCAAAAAAAAAAAAAAAAGTAAGAAGAAGTGTGTTAGAAAAACAAAAGTACAGTATTAATCGCTGAAAAAGTGCGACAATATGAGTTATGCAAATATTAAAATTGATCCCCTCGGAAGGGACAATTATGATACCTGGAAAATACAGATACAAGCGTTATTAATAAAAAACGATGTTTGGAAATATGTAAGTGGCCAGAACGTGCTGCCAACTAATAGTTCTGCTGAAAAAGTTGCAGAATGGGAATTGAATGATTCTAAAGCAAAATCCGACTTAATTTTGTCAATCTCTACGACAGAATTGAGACAAGTGAAAAACTGTGAGACATCCAAGGAATTATGGGACAAATTAAAAAGTGTATACCAATCAAAAGGTCCCGCGCGCAAAGCTCATTTGCTGAAATCGCTTATTTTGTTGAAAATGCAAAATGGTGGGGACATGCATACCCATTTGCAAAATTTCTTTGACACGGTAGACAAAATTCGCGAAATGGACATGGAAATCATGGATGATCTTGTAACAATATTACTATTGTATAGTGTGCCAGACGAATACGAACAGTTTAGAGTCGCGATCGAAACGCAAGACAAACTACCCGATCCGGAATCGTTAAAAACGAAAATGCTCGAAGAATACGAAGCGCGAAAACGCAACAATGTCGAGTCCAGTGACGCATTGTTTGCACGAAAAAGTTATATTAAAGTGAAAAGTAGCAAACCTACTGAAAAGTTTAAATTAGCTTGCTACAATTGTGGAAAAATAGGCCATAAAGCCAGAGAATGCCGATCGAGGCCGAAAAATCAATTCGAAAACAATAACAAAAACAAAGAAAAGCGTGAAAGACCTGAAAACGCAAGTAATACCGCTATTGCTTTTCAAATATGTGGTGAAAAAGGAATGTGGTGTCTAGACTCTGGAGCCACATCGCACATGTGTTCTCAAAAGGACAAATTTCAAAATATTGTCAGAAATAGTGAAAACCAAAAACTGAAGCTCGCAAATAACATGTCTGCTAAAATAGCAGGGTGCGGAGAAGTTTTATTAGAGACCTCAAAAAGAACTGCAAGTTTGGGGGAAACGTTATATGTACCAGACTTAAGATCAAATTTAATGTCTGTTTCTAAGATTACAGATAAAGGCTTCG